GGGTGTGGGGGTCTTGTTCTGGACCGAAAAGCGGGGTGCCGACCAGTCAAGGGCCGCTGACCGTCGGGGTATGCAACCCTGCAAGGCAAGATGGAAACCAAAGCCTCTCAAGATATGGAACCCCAGTTATCTTGCAGGGACTTTTCTGAGCCCACGTCTCCTATGGGCAACTTCCGACTCCTGTCCCCGCCAAGGACAAACAAATTTGTGTACGGCTGGCTGGGCAACTAGGCCGCCAGCTATGGACGCCAGCCCAAACGACAGGGAAGGCATGCTCTTGCTACGGTTCTCAAGTGGCCCAAAAGACAGACATACCCTTGCACTCTCCGAATGTCTCCTTCTGCCTATCATTTCACTTCAGCATCTCACACCGCACCTGTTGACTACTGCCACCCTGTTTTTCACCCAACCAGCCTCACTTGTCACGTGGTCACACACTTCGTCGCAGTAGCGCTTCCACCACAAGCATGAGTGGGATGAGTGATAACAATAACAACTGCTCTGCTTTTGTATGTGTGTGACAATTCACCTGGGAGCGCTTGGACTTGCCAACCCGGTTAACCAAGTACGTACCCTGTCGCCTTGGGCCTCTTAGCTGTTGGATGTTTTTGGAATATTAGCTGGCCTACCTGGGATCCGAACTGCTGGCTTTTCTGGGGATGGGACAGGACTGCACTGGACCGGATAGAACCAGCCTACAGCACCAAATGCTAGCCTTGCTAGGCCCCCCTGCCTGGACTTAGGACTGATGGGACGGACAGTGCCAGTTGCAGTCCTTGGAATGCAATCATCTTGCTGTATTCTTTCTGATGCAGGCGGGTCATGCTGGAGAACAAGTGAATTAACAAGGAACCACCCACTTTCCAATAGATCTCCCTTAACTGCCAGTTGAGAAAGGACCCTCCTCCAGCTTCCTTCTCTCTCTCCTCTCCTGCTAGTAGCGGTAGTGGCTATGGCAAATCATCCCTGCCTAGCACGGATTTTCAGAGGACTGTGTACTATGCCTCTCCCATCTCCTACCAACATGCTTCACTCACAGATGAAGACGATGTCCGACCGGTAGCCCAACAGGGGCTGCCTTCATGTGGCGCCAACCGGGGATGTGAAGATGAAGGTCCACCATAGCCAAACGTAAACCTTCTTGTCAGTTGCCTCCTTCCTCCTCCTCTCACCTACAAGAGGTCTGCTTCTATCTCCATAGCCGAATGTGGACATCGACTGGCCAGACTCTCTTTCCAGTTGACTCCCCTTGCGATGTCTCCTCTGCATAGTCAGATTCTCTCCCACTCCGCATAGGCCATGGAGGTCTTCTTCATCACTTCTACTTCACTTTCATAACCCAAGAGCTCGGCCGCTTCTTCACTCCTTGCAGGGAAGCAGCATTACTGCTGGGTGAATACCTGGGCTACTCGGTCAACAAATGATATAGTCTTGCCACTCTGGCTTCAGTGCCCTCACCCGTGTGCTTCCTAGGCACTACCAGTGGAGCAGGCCTTCCGATTCCTCCTTCTTTGGGGGGGAACATATCATTGCAGACTGTAATCCTTCCCTGTAGGACCCAAACCTACACCTAACTCAGCCCACGTAGAGTTCAGATACCATCATGACTTGCCCTGCTATCCTACCCGACTCCAAGCTCTCTCCAACGTGCTGGAAAATCCCTACTGGTCCCTGTCAAATTCTTTTTCTGCCCCTATCTGTCCCAGTACTTCCCGTATGTTCTCCTACCCTGTCCCTGCGTATAGGGCCTATTTACTGACCTACCCCTGTTTGAGCTACAGCAATACAGGATCAAGAAACGTAGTCAGCACACCTTCTGCAACCCAAACGCTGACTGGCCTCTTATGCCATTCTAGAGTAGTCTACTCCAGCGGTGAGTATTTAGAACCCTGTCAATTTCGTTACATCTTTGTCCCATCCTTCGCCACCCCACTTCCTCCCCCACCCCTTTTGCCCCCCTGACCCTTTCCCCCTCCCCTTCCCTTCAGTCCCTATAGAACTCTGCCTCCTATCCCCTTCCTCCGCTAATCTCCTACGGTCCTATACCTGGGTCGGCATGAAGGATGATTGCATTGCCTATATCCAGGGCTGTCAAGTATGTCAGCGGAACAAAAATTCCACATAAGCCCCACTTGGCCTGTTGAGGCCACTGCCTGTCCCGTCCGGTCCTGGTGACTCCGTGTCTATTGACTTTATGGACACAAAAGTCGAAAGCAAAAACAGGAAGAGTCAAGTGATTGTAGTAGTAGATAGGTTCAGTAAATTTGCTGTTTTCGTTCCGCTGCCTGCGGTGGCGAAGTCAGAGTTAGTAATTAGAGAACTCTGCAATCATTGGGTTAAAGACTACGGGCACCCATTGACGATTGTCAGTGATAGAGATAGAAGATTCACGGGCGAGCACTGACAACAATTGATGAAGGCATATGGGTCAAAGCTGACCATGTCTTCCGGTAGACACCCGGAGACTAACGGCCACACTGAGCAGATGAATAAGCTGCTCCAGGAAGTGCTGCCCATGTACATTAGGCCTGACCAGATCGATTACGACGAGCATCTTCCCAAAGTGCTATCTGCGTATAACAATTCGGTACTGCACACACCCTGAATGAACTGCACAAGGGTTGGCAGCCCCGGCGTCCGATTGATTGTCTGAACCCCGACCACATCCAAAGATTGCCACGCGGTACTAGGGAATTTTGCCATTCAATATGAGAAAGACCTAGAGCAGGTGAAAAAGAACATCCTTAAGGCCCAGCATCAGATGGTGGAACAGGCCAACAAGCACCAACGACCTTCACAGTTCGCTGTGGGTGACTTGGTCTCGGTGAAATCCAAGGAGTTCATTCCAGAAGAAGGAATCTCGCAGAAACTGCTACCTGCGTATAGGGGACCATGGCAAGTACTAGATGTCAAGGGAGAGGCTGATGGTCCGTCCTACACTAGTGAGTTTCCACCCCACCTGCACACATATCCGGTTCCACGCATGTAAGTTGCTCCCTTGTGTCACGAATGATCAGTGTCCCTGTCGTCGTTCCATGATTCCACCAGTTATGGACGGAGGTTATCATGTAGATAGAATAGTAGCTGAAGATGTCTTCCTTACAGGTTGCAGGGGGGGACCACAGAGGCAGTACAAGGTGAGATTTGCCTATCAGGAGCCCAGCGAAGATCGCTGGTTCCCCAGGGAGGAACTTATACAAACAGCCCCTCACATTGCCTCTTATTATGAGAGGGCCCGGAGGGGAATGAACGTGTACGAACGATAAAGATGGGATTTTTGAACATTTTCTCGTCAGACCTCGAAATTAGGCCGGTGGGAGTGAAAGGATTCATGCTGCAGACACCCCAGTTCCGGTCCCAGAGTCCCAAAGAGTCCCAGTCCCAAGCTGTGTCAGTAGGGTAGGTCGTAGGCTCCGTAGACTGAAGTGTCGTAGGTCGGTAGGCGTCGGTACCGAAACAAAATAGGTTGGTAGAAGTCCGTCCGGTACCCGGCAAGAAAAGTCCAGAGGAGTCCAGTCCAGTCCAACAGTCCCAAGTCCACTTTTGCAGCATGTCCTACCGGACCGACAAAATGTTTGCAGCAGACAGGCCGCGGGCGACCGGTACCGGTCTTAAGCAGGCCACGCCAAGTCAAGTCCTATATTGAGCTGCTAAAGTGCAGCGGCTCACCACTTGTTCATTTTGCGAGATGCGGAAGCGCTGCTGCTGCTTGTGCGTTAAGGCAACTTGGGCACCTTGAGGAAGAAGAGGGCGCTCAATTGTTACTCCATAGTTAGGGCAGAGTGGAGGTAGGGAGTAGGGCGGCCATAGCCGCCAAGGTTGAAGCTTACCTGAGTGGGTGTATCCAGGGTGACTGTCTAGGACCAGAGCGAGGGAGGTCAGAGAGAGAAGCAAGACTTAGATACAGAGAGAAGCCATAGCCGCCAACAAGCTGAGATTCCGTTGTGCGTGTGTGTGTGGCGGAGTCGATGGAGACAAACATTTCTTGTATATTGATAATAAATCTGGAGACGACATCTTCATGTGTTGATTCAACTTGATTGTATCTCGGTTTAGCTTCTCGCGTGCCCAGTCGTGTTGCTCCCCACGAATAGATTGGAGCATCGCCTCAAAAAAAAAAAAAAAAAAAAAGCTTCTCGCGTGTGAACTCTCATTGATGTATGTGAGGTGGAACTCGAGGAGTACTTGGTTCATTTCATTGTTCCCAACCTCATCTCTGCCTTTCCAAGTTTGTCTATTGGGAAACCTGCACATCCTCTTCTGAGTCTGCAATCAGCTCAGAACTGCATGCACACAAATGCACACAAATGCACACAAATGCACACAAATGCACACAAATGCACACAAATGCACCCACCTTACAAACTTCGAATCACAGACAAACATTGTCACAAGCATGCACAAAATGAAGAAAAATTTGACCAAGGCAGCGAAAACACGGTTGAATGTACATGCAGTCACTCACTTGAAAGGTGCAACTGGTTGAGGACTGGAACAGGATGCAGGGTGTCCATCTCTGAATGTGTCCTACACAGCTTGATCTCAACCAACCTGATTGAGCGATGGAGCATGAAGGTTCTAGAGGGAGGAGCATGGTGCATAGGGTTTAGATGTGGAGTGAGCAACTGGCACAGTGTCGGAGGTTGGGTGGCATCCTGTTACATGCTGCGCCTGCAACAGGCTGCACGGGCCACTTTCAGGCCCATGACGTGCCGAAAGCTTGAAAACAAAGGCCTACAGGCCCCGTGTAGTTTCAGCCTGAAAGCCTGAAAACAAGGGCCTACAGGCCCTGTGTCGTTTCAGCCTAAATCAGGGCCTTTCCGGCCCTGAGTCTTTTCAGCCTGAAACTGAGGGCCATTTTCAGGCCCTCATGAGTTCGACCTGCCCTGAAACTCAGGCACCAAACCAGGGTTTTAGCACAGGCCATTTTGGGCCTGTTTTCAAGACAACCCCTGGTTGAGCTTCAACACCAGGGTCTGGCACGTTTCGGCATTGGCAAGAGCAGTCTCCTGGATGGGCCAGCACTGTATAGGACTGGCTCGCCCTGCAGGCTGCAGGTAGTTCCTAGGTACTTCCCAGGCATTTTACGTGCAGTTCAGGAGGCAGGAGGTAGTCTTCAGGATTCGGCAGCAGCACTCTGGAGGAGCGCTGCAGGAGTAGTAGTAGCGCTAGCAGTAGTCTTCAGCGCTGGGCGCTAGTAGCGTTAGCAGTAGTCTTCAGCGCTGGGCGCTCTTAGGAGCTAGGGTAGTACTAGAGAGAGAGAGAGATTGGGCGGAGGCCAGGGATACTTACCTGCAGCGCCATAGCTCCAGCTTCGCCTTCGAGGTACCTGCAGCACAGCGCCATCTTCACAGGTTAGTACCTGGCATATGAGAGAGAGAGAGAGTTCTTCTTCTTCCTCTTCTCAGTCCACCATCTTCCTCTCACCCTCTCGCTACCTGACTTCACTGCATCAGCAGACTATGAGAGAGCGGGCTTGGTGACATTTGGATCCAGACTTGCCATTGGGCTTCAGACATTTTGACGAGGGATTATTTGGGACTTGTAACAAAGACTTGGTGTTGACGACATTCCCATCTCTCCACCTCTTCTTCGTCTGTTCCCCTCCTCTTCATCTGTGCATGATTTGGACCTGGCGCATTCTTCCTGTGTGTAGCGCCAGGTCCCTTCACACCTTGTGATGAGGATGATGTATGTTTGGTCTGCATTGCAACATTGATTGGGCTAGTCATTGGTATTCTAGCATTCTGCTGCGCATCTGCTGCGCTGTCTTGCACTACGTGATAGAGGTCAGTCCCGGTCAGGTCAGGAGTTGTATCTAAGTCTTCCCCTGCACTATAAAGCACCATTTTTGAATGTATCAGAATGTACACTGCTTGTTGATATTTCACTTGCACTGCATTGTCCATTCAGTCCTTTTATCACATTGCGGATCCTCGGTTTTATATGTACATCGCCCAACTGGGCATGTAACACATCCTGTGGGGTGAGGGCTGATCTTCATTTGATTGCCAACTCATCGGCTTCTCGGTTAGCGACTTAACAGGTTAACGCTGAACTAGCAGGAGTGGAGCAAAGGCTGCTGCAGTGCTGCTATACCTTACTACTATTAGTGGGAGTTTAATTGCTTTTCTACTCAATTTGGCAGGCTAAGCTTTATTTGACTGCTAACCCGCCTGCTTTTTAAGTTAGTGCTAAACTAGGAGTGGTGTAGAGGCTGCTGCTCTACCTTAGTACTATCGGTGTTCGGTTAGGGTAACTGTGTTTCTGCTTGGTTCTGCGGGCGAAGCTTGATTTGATTGCTGATCCAGTTGCCTATTGGTTAGCAACCTACCAGGACTGGTGTACAGGCTGCTGCTCTTCCTTAGAACGGTGTTAGGTTAGGTTAATTGCGTTTCCGCTTGGTCCTGCGGGCGAAGCTTGATTTGATTGCTGATCCAGTTGCCTATTGATTAGAAACCTACCAGGACAGTAAGGACTAGAGTAGAGGCTGCTAGTACTATTGGTGTCCTCTAATCTCCAAACTGACCTCTAACCTCCAAACAGCCCTGCGGTTATGGAACTTCCAGCGCCAGACTGACTCCAGTCTGCGCAGTCGCCCCAGCGCCAGGCAGTCTCCAGCTATGGCCACTTCTAGTAGTCCCTGAGAGGATGAAGATGACGAGTGCTACTTTTAGCGCTGCTCTCCTGCCCAAAACCGCCCATTCCAAACTTTGAAAAGAGAACCTGCAAAGAACCCGGCACTCTTCAGCCTCCAGGCTTTTCTGCCAACTGAAACTACAGCCTACGACAGACCTACGGACTGCTACCTACGGCTGAACTGCACCTAGACTCAGAACGGGAAAAGGGGAAAATAAACAATTGAACAAACAGGCCGGGGGGCCTACAGCAAATAGCTGCAGAAAAACTACAGCACACTAGACTAAGAGAAATCCCGCTAAGGGACAGGTCAAGGGGTCAAGCCCCATAGGGCCCAAAACAGCTGAACAGAAAAGTGCCCTGAGTGGAACTGTAGACATAGCCACGACTTGGACACAGTAGTACTAAAGAAAACAACCACGAATCAATCTATAGATTCTTTTTTTTTTTTTTAAACGGAACCTCTTGGTTATGGCTCCTACCATTCTGGGGAGCGACAGTCCGGTTCCTATTCCCCCGGCAAGTCAAATGGAATACATGAGAGACTCACGGACGCTCCTCCCCATTATGGCTGGGAGGCCTGAGTGGACGGCATTGATTGCTTCCTTGAGGAAGGATGTACCACCCCTCGCCCCTGCCTAAGTTAGCCTGTGCTAATTGAACTGCCTAGTTGTTGCCCATCTATCTGACGCCAGTCCCGCTCCTCTCAGCTGTGGTGCTGTCTGGTTGGTGTGTTATGCTAGAGCGATCTGGGACGCCTACGAGTCTTCTGGAATCTCTGATGCCCTAAGTCCTGTTTGCCCTGTCTCTGTCTAAACCTTAAACCCTAAGCCCTCAGCTGTAATGCTGTTGTGGTTTCCCTGTTGCTAGTTCCTAAAAAAGTGAAGGATGTGCTGTTCTTAGGCTCTAAAACCCTAAACCCTGAACCCCCTCCTCTCTCTAGTTTGGGGTGTGAACCCTTCCTTTCTCTCTGCTGACCGTTTTTATTGCTACTTTCCTCTGAGTTATCCCCTTTTTGGGAACACACTCACGCTCTTACCCCTTCTGGCGGGGAGGCCTGATTGCTTCCATCAGGAAGGATGTACCTCCCCTCGCCCCTGCCTAAGTTAGCCTGTGCTACTTTCTCTTATCTTTTGCTAATCTGGAAATCCGTTCGCTCTAATGTTTGGGACTTAATTCTTTATGTTCCATCCAGTCCATACCTCTCAGCTCCTCGACTGTCTGTTTTGCTTTCGTGCTAGCACCACTGATAAGGCTGCTTGTGTGAAATTCTGCTTACACTATGCTCTGTGAGGTTACACTC